TCTGGATACTCTATGGAAGGAGAAAAATGAATTCTAATAACTACATGTCTTGTGCTGTTTTTGGTTTCCTAATATTTGTGTTAGAAATACTACAAGAATACAAATGGCAAATGCTACCAAAATGGTTTATTAAAATTACCTAATAAATTTATCTATTGATATTGCCATAAATATAATAGAAAAGCCCTTCACTAAAAGGTGTCCCTAGCTATTTATGCCACCGGAAGCCCAGAAGCAACTTGCAGAGTATGTCAACCTTGTAAACATCTTGAAAAAAGGTGGACAAACATTCTTGATAATGGAGACAACAAAGCCTCAGTGTTCTTCCTTAGCCAATATTGCTACTTTGTTTGGATGAAGCCACAGTCAACTGTCTTTTATGTAAGCCATTAATTTCACACTCATACAAGTCTGTCCAGGTCACACAGGCCAGTGTAAAGAAAGTACCTATGTCAGTCTGTTCTGTAGGTAAACCCCCCTCCCCCCTGTTATTTGTTGCCTCCTTATGTCAGTGAAAAGAATCTCACTAACTTCAAATGAATGAAATAAAAAAAATATATTAGTTGTGAGGGCTGGCAGTCTCGCCCTTTAAACTAGCACTGGCTTTATCTTAATAAGAAGTGGAAGAAAAAACATTAAATTGCTTTAGTGATAAGTTTGTGCCTTTATACATCTTTAAAATGATGTTATGGAATGGTAATCCATGATAATGGTCCTTTTTTCCATTTTAAAAGAAATGATAAAAAACCCCTCAGATTATTATAAGCCTTGTAAAACCTTTTGTGTGTACAGAGATTTGTATCTGACATGTTTCCATTAAGCAGAATATCTAAATATGATTTGAACACGTTTCTACAGGAAAACTGTTATGATATTCAATGAGTAGGTGTAACAAGCTGTGGGAACCAAGAAATTAAGAAAAATATTACAAGGCTGTCAAGAGTAGGCATAGACATTTTGTACCTGCTAAATTAAAATGATGGGCCTAACATTTAAAAGAATATGCCAGTGCAGTAGTCAAGCAGGAAAGTAATTTAGATAATGATCTTTTCTCTGCTATTCAACCAGGCCTAATTCTGGTTTCTCACTGGCTGCTTCGAATGCTCCAGTACTGCTAACACAAAGCAGCCAGAAGGCTGGTTTTACTGATTACTTGGGACTTTGTTTTTTACATAGAGCCAGCATGGCAGTTGTGTACCACAAACCCTCAAGTCACTCCTCATGGAGTCATAATCTGGGGAAGAGGGCATGGCTAGGTTGTTTGCTCTTAATTATTCCTGGATCCTGGAATTGCCTATTGGCATTACAGTTAGGCTAGGGACAAGACTAGTCTACTGCTGACCCATGAATCTAGGGGCTATCACAGATGGTGTAAATCCAGCCCTCACTCAGAACTTGTGCCCCTCTCTCCACAGCAAGCCAATATAGTCAAAGTTAAACAAAATTCACAATAAAAAACCCACTTTGCCCTGTAAAGACACAGATACCAATAGAATTTAAAAACTTTAATTTCATATTTAAAGAAACAGAAGAGTGCTTGTGTTAGGGATCTTTGCTGATGTGTTTTATTTTTTTAATTGAAACATTTTCAGATTAAATGAACAATAAAACTTGGACCTATAGAAAAACTAAGGACTTTAAATAGAAAAAAGTAGGTGTAGGTAAATAAAAGATTAAACTTTGCAATATTTTAATATAAGATAAATAGTGTTCATGATTTCAGTTTTTACTGAAACTAACCAACAAATTCCCTGATTTTTTTATTGAAGTTATTTGGTTTTTACTGATTTACACCCATTTTTCAGTTCACTCAATTTTACCGGGTACAGTAAAATCCCTGTTAACCGGCACAAGTGGAGAATAGCTGGGGTGCCGGTAAGCTAAAAGTGCTGGTTAGCCAACGTACAGGTTTCCAGCTGGACATGGTGGGGAAGGGGTGTGGTAGCTGCCACGTGGAAAGGGAGGTAGTAGCCGCACAAGGGTTGGAGGAGGTTGGCTGGAACTGCTGCCTGGCAGCTGCTGGGGCTCTCAGCTCTGAACCCAGTCCTGGCAGCTCCAGCTGCGGCCCTGCCCCAGATGCTGAGAGTTACAAGCCGCGCCAGGAGGGGAGGCAGGAGAGCCTGGCCCTGCTCCCTGCAACGGGTGCTGCACCCAGCCATTCTGCATAGGCCCGCAAGGCTGGAGCCACTTTCTGGGGTCATGGGGCTCCCGCCTCTAACCATGGGTGGGGCAGGAGGTGCCAGTGCTGGTGCCAGGGTCGGGATCGGGTCTCCCCCACTCCGTGTCCAGCTGCGCAACTCTCCCCCCAGCCCCTGGGCTGCGCTGTGCGGTGCTGCAGGCAGGTGGTGTTGGCTGCTTCCAGGGCTGCTTCAGCAGGGGCTGGGGTGAGTGGGGACAAGCTGCACAGCACCCCTCGGGACTCCATTTGTTCCCACTCACCTCAGCCCCTGCTGCAGTGGCCCCAGGAACAGCCATCGTCAGCTGCAGAGGGAACTGTAAATGAATGGGTGCAGGGTGCAGGGTGTGGCTCTTGCTGTTCTGTGCGCCCTAGGAGGGCTGCACCGGGCTCTTCCCGCATGCCGGATGAGATCTGCACACTGGTTGAGAGCAGGCTGGCGCCTGCCCCGAGCACCAGGAAGAGCCTGGTGCCACTGCCGTCCCCAACCTACAGAGGCAACCTGCTCTTGTCCTGCATGCAGATCTGGGGGCAAGTGCCCACACCCTAGGAATAGCCCGGTGCAGCCCCACAGCCTGCAGCCCTCCTGGGGTACACATAGCAGCAAGAGCCACCCCGCCCTGCCCTACATCTTCTGACAGTTCCCTCCGCTTTTCTCTGTGCTGCAGCCCCGGGAGCAGCAGATGGGCTGCATGCACACCCCACCCCTCCCCTACCCCCAGCCTTACTCTCTCCCTTCCTCACTGCCACGGGAACATATTATTTTCCCCATTTTTTTTCTTTTCTTCCTTTTATCCCAATTTCAACCCAGTTTTTATGTTTGGAAAATAAACCCTGAAAAATTCCCAATTTGTTTTTGAAAATAAAAACTGAAAAAGTGGAACACTAAAGATAAATCTTGATGTATGAGCTACTTAAAATGCTATGTATTTGACTTAAGAAGAATAAATATTCACATTAATTAGGACAGAGTTATACTGTGATCACAGACACCCCCCACCTCCCCTCATTGATTTCTTCTGGTTTTCAATTCAAGTCAATATCAGTTAAAGGCTGGAAGCATAGTCCCATTTATTCTATGAAAAGAACCACATTTTGGGGCTCATTAAAGCTAGGGTTTGCCAAACAGGATTTGTGCTATAAAATCCAATTAGCAATGTAAAATTCTTGGAAGGCTGCCTAGGATTCCCAGGGGTTGTCTATACTGTAGGAAGATATGTTTCAGGGATACTGAATGCATGGAATTGTTTGTGATACCATAACTTGTACTTGCAGTGATTTATCATATCCACGCAGTGGCATTATTTCTGGCATAACCATTTTAGTGCCCTCTTGAGGCATCTATCCATCTAAATTCAGCAATGTTTCTGGGAGCAAGAGGTTCTGAGAATTTTTAATATGGGGAAACCCTGCGCTGGAGGGAATGAATTAGAAGAGCTTCCTGAACGACTTGTTGTGGAGGAGCTCTAGGCTGAAGGTGCAAGATGTAGGGTACATAAGTTGCTGGTTCTGACGGTTTGAACTATTTGAATTGGTTAGAGCTGGTATCAACTGATTCTGACTGGTTTGAACCTGTTCTGAAAGTTTCCAGATGGTTTCAACCAGTTCAGAGAGGTTTTGACCAGCTTGAACTAGTTCTGACCGGTTTGAACAGTTTTGAATTGGTTAGAACTAGTTTGATCAGTTCCGACCAGTTTGAACCTGTTCAGTGGCAACGCATAGTGGTGCACAGAGATGCACTTGCACCCCCTGTAAGTGCTGGTGCAATTCTTGTCAGCCCGTGTTCCCAGGCAGGGGGGAGGCAAGAGTGCCAGTGCCCCCCTGAGAGCGCCGGCTGGGGAATGCAGGCACCAGAAGTGGTCTTCCCACAGCCAATTGTGCTCACCTGGAAGTGTCAGAGGAATTGGCCCCAGGGGGACTCCCCCAATCTGCGGGATCAGATGTAGGGGGACCCTCCCCTCCCCAGTTGGCAGGATCAGCTGTGGGGGGACCTCCCCCTGGTTGCTGACTGTCCACTGAGAGGGCAAGTGCCCCCCCAACTCAGAAGGCACCAGTCACCCATGAACCTGGTTTGAACCTGTTTTGAAAGGTTCTGCCAGTTCCTGTTTCAACTGGTTCCAGCTGGCTTGAACCCGTTCCGGCTGGCTTTGACCGATTCCAACTGGTTCTGACCAGTTTGAACCTGCTCCGGTCGGTTCTGACCACCTTGAACAGGTCCCAACTGGTTTGAACTGGTTTTGGGTGGTTTGATCTGGTTCTGACCTGTTCTGGCCAGTTTAAACCAGTTCCCACTGTTTTGAACTGGTATTGACCAGTTCCACCTGGTTTGAACTGCTTCTGACCAGTTTGAGCCGGTTCCTACTGGTTGTAATGGCTTTGAACCAGTCTGATGGTTTGAACTGGGCCCTACACTGCAGAAAGGATGTGGACAAATTGGAGTCCAACTGAGAGCAATGAAAATGGTTCAGGGGCTGGGGGACATGACTGGCGAAGACAGGCTGAGGGATTTGGGTTTATTTAATTTGGAGAAGCAGGGACAGAAGAGACTTAATAGCAGCCTTCAACTCCCTGCAGGGTGGTTCCAAAGAGGATGCAGCTGGACTGCTCTGTGGTGGCAGATGACAGAACAAGGAGCAACGGTCTCAAGTTGCAGCAAGGGAGGGTTAGGTTCATCACCAGAGTTGTGAAGCCCTGCAACAGGCTACACGGGGTCCGAGACACGGTGGAGTCTCTATCTTTGGAGGTTTTTAAGACCAGACTGGACAAAGCCTCGAGTGGGGCGATAACTCCTCCGGTCTGGTCCAGCCTTCCTGTCTCCGATCCGATGCCGCAAAGCACCAGCCGCTCTGCGACGCTGCACAGTCGCTTCCTCAAGGTATTCATTCCCACCGCCAGGCTCCCGGGTCCGACCCGCCCGTGGGATCTGGAAAGGAAACAGCCACTTTCCCCTCGGCGCTTGGAGCCCCCAGGCCTTGCGGCTTTGCATCAAGGGGCGGCACTGCGCAGGGCCGGGTCTTTGATCAGCTAGAGTCTGGCTAGCCTAAGGCATGGAGCTCCGCTTGAGGCTGGGCCTGCGCTGCCGGCGCCTGCCCCCAGCAGGGCCGGGGCGGGGCTGAGGCGCCGTTTGGCAGAGGTGCGCCGGAAGTTTCGAAGGCTGCGGCGGGGCCGCGCGGCCAGGGCCTGCCCCGAGCGGGAGAAGCCGGCAAGCAGCGCTTTGCCCTTCTGCGGCGGGTGGTTCTGGCCTGGGTCCGCCGCCCAGCGTAGCAGGGCACTGCAGAGGCGGGGGGGAAGAAGCCCTCCCACTGTCCCGCGCACAGCCAATGTCGTCACACAACAGGATTTAAACGTGGCTGGGAAGGGGCGGGGCAGTTGCCCAGCAACCGAAGGCGTCGGGGGCGGGGCAGGCTGGGCCATTCGGGCCGTTGCCTGCCTTGCCACAGGCGGGTAGTGCGTTCCGCTCCGCCCTGCTCCTGTTGTTGCTGCGAATGGAGGCGGTTTGCGCTGGTCGGTGCCGGGACCCGCCCCGCCCGAGCCAAGTCGCCTGCTGCCTCCATCGCTCCCGTGGCCGGAGCGCTGGCGACGACTGGGCAGGGGCAGAGGCAGGCTGTTTTCCATGAGAGGTGAGTACGGTGATAGTTACCCAGCCAGCACCCTCTTACCTGCGGATGTCGGGGTGGGACCAGGCGCTGGGACTTCCCTGTTTCTGCCTCCTGTGCCAGGATAAGTACAGAAAAGCGGCGATCATGAGCTGTGCGAGGAAACGCGAGTTGCAAAGAAAAGGGTGCAGAGCAGTGGCTCAGCCTGGGGCACTTGAGATCCGCTGAAGGGTGTCGTAGCAGAGTTAAGTGTGCAGACGTGATTTGCAAGATAAACTGGGAGCTTTCAGAGTTTATTGCAGCAAAAGAGTTGCTCTATTGTCAAAAAATAGAGTGAAAATTAAGAGTTGACATTTTCTGAGGGTGCCTCGAGTCCAAAAAAAGTGGGGGAGCAGGGGGGTTCTCAACATCAGGCCCACAGAAATTTTGTCCTGTGAGGCTCCCCATGGCTCTGGAAATCCAGTGGTGAGAGAGCAGCGGCAATTAATACTGCCTCCCAAATTCCCAAGCCTCAGGCAGCTGGTTTGGGGCTGAGCAATGCACCCTTTCCACCCTTGTATAGCCAGATTAGGGTCAGCTGTACTCCATATTTGGATTGGATCCTCAGGCATGATCTGGCCAGTAGACAGACTGGGGACTGCCCGTCTGGCCTGTGAGAGTAAGTCTGAGCAGCACTGGTGCAAAGAGCAAAACAGAGAATGGGACAGCTTGTCCTCTTCTGTCCTTCACTGAAGGCTTGCTAATGGCAGGCAAATGAAATTGCCCTTGATGTCAGGCCTCAGACACACACACACATTCATACCACCCTCTTCTTACTAGGGCCTCTCATGCTCCACCCCTTTTCATAAGGTCTCTTTTAAGCATCAACAATTTGTACCATCTTGCTCCCTCTTGGAGCGGGCCCCTTCAGCCATAGGCTTTAGCTAGCACACACCTTGGGTGGCAGACGTACCATCTTTTGGGCCTCTCCCACAGCCTTCACCAGGGTAGTGGCCAGCCAATTACCTGACCAGGGCCAAGCTGGCCCTGGCTCCTCCCGTGGCAATTATATACACTCACACTGGGCTCCCAGCCCTCTGGTTTTCCCCTCACTGGGACTCCACATTTCTGCCCCCTCTCACTGGGGCCATGGGGTTTCCCTCCCCATTGGGGGTTCAGGTGGCTGTAGCCATGCCTGGTCCCCTTGTACTTAGTGTTGTGGGGGCTAGAGGGTAAGGCACCCCAACCCACCTTTCACTAGGGTGATAACTGGCCTGGTATTTCCTGGGGGCTCCCACACCACTGAGAGCCCCACCAGGCCACCCTCTCCTGGCAGTGTACAGTTTTAGGTCATGCCCAGGACCAGGAGCCTCCAAACCATCCCCCTAAGCTCCTGCCCTTACCTCCAAGATGTTTCATGTAGCCTTTCAGCCAGGCAAAGTTTCTGCCTGGCCTGCCAGTGGTGAACTGCTCTATATAGGTCTCCAGAGTTCTAAAATGGCCACCATAATCAAGCACCTGCTGGCTGTTTGGCTCAGCCCCTAAAGTGGCAGGGACCAACAGTGCTCTGCCATAGTTGGGAGAGGCAGTTACTTCAACCTCTATTTTGGGAGGAATCAAACACTTGCTAGCAGCTGTAGCTTCAGTCATATAAAGGTGCATATTAATTGTACCACACAACCTCAAAAATATTCTGAGGCATAAGCAAGATCTGATGCAAATGAATGTGCATCCGTGCAACACAGATATGTCTCTGTTTCAAAATCCAGAAGTACTCACGACCCCACGTTTGGCTGTGGTCAAGCCACACCACTCAAACCTGATTTACAGCCAAGTCCCCTGCTCTCTGGCAATGTAAAGTTATGCAACTAATAACCCAAAGGGAAGGGGAAAACAAGGGTCTGTAGCAGTGGTAACAAAGAAAGAAGTAGCTTGGTTATGTTCACTGCTGTCAGCTGCTAACTGCTGACCCTAGTAGCCCTCTCGGTAATATCGGTATTGCAATAGCAGGTCCCTCTGGCCATGTGGGATACTCTCTTGTTGTCTTAGCCTACACCCTAGTAAGAGTTACCTTCTCTTAATAATAATTCTCCATATTTATATGTATTGACATTCTCCATACTTACATTAATTGACATTTTAATTTTCTGATATATACATATAAGAAAGTATGCCCTATATTTCTGGACTCCCAAGGCAACATTATTGGCTGTTGCATTTCAGTGAACATAGGTAAAGGAACATTTTATTTCATTCTTTTGGATAAAAAATCATCTGTTACCTTTAATGGTTGGTCTTTAAACTATAATTGCTAGTTGACCTTTGGCTTTCAGTTCACTTTAACTGGCATTAAATTTGCATCCAATTACAAATACAAAAGGTGGCACTTTTTAAAACATTTTTCATTTTCAGGTGTTAATTGATTTCTATGAGAATATAGAGCAAAAGTTGAGTCAATTGATTTTTATACCTCTTTTTGTAAGATGACCGAAGAAGGAAAACTGAAATGTGTTTGTTTTCAAATCTTTTTAATCCCTTTTGCATGTGCAATGTTTCCGGAGCTCCCTGCAGCCCCCAAACAAGCCATAGTTCCATCCAGTGCCCCACCCCCCAGTTCGGCAGTTCCTGTCCCAGCCCCACTCCTCCCTCACCATGGGGTG